GGCGGGGGGACCCCACCCGTCCCCCCGCACCTCTCCGGGCTGAGCTGTGAGCCGGAGCGGGGCCGCACGGGCACTGGGCTGCCGAGGCGACAGCGAAAGGGAGGAATTAGCATTTCTGCCAGCCTCCCCCTCCGCTCGGCTGCCCCCTCCCTCCTCGCCACCCCTTTCCCATCCCACCACCCACCCACCGCCGCCGCTCGCCAGCCTGCGGCGAGGACGGGGCCGGCTGCTCCCGCGACGGGCGCGGCACTGTCTCTCCACCCTCCTCCCTCCAAAATATAAAATAACCAAAATAAACACCCACCCGGCAGAGCAACGAGTACAACTGCGCGCGCTTGGCAGCAGGCGTTATCCAGCCCCCTTCCCGTCCGCCGTTTTGACTTCGCCGGTGCCCCCCCGGAGGCACCGAAATGCCGTCGGGGCGGATGCGGGACACGGCTACCCCCGTCCTGCCGGCACATCGCGGGGTCGCAGCCCTTTGGGGAGCGCTTGTGGACGGGGATGCGGAGGTTGGACCCTCCCGCCCCCGTTCCCCGGGCGGTGCTGCCATCCCCACCCGCCCGATCCATGCGGTATTTCCACGGGCGATGAGCGGCGTGTGCCAACCGGTCCCGTCGCTCGGCGCTCATCGAATGCAAAGCGCTTTTAAACACGGAGGGGGTAGGAGATGGGAGGCGAGGGAAATACACGGAGGCTGCCGGGGGTCCCCAAGACGGGACCGTTCTCTCGCAGCTTCCTCCCGAAGGTTTCAGCCCATTGGAAAGGGGCAGGGAGCCCCGTATTCCCCTCGTAGTTTCTCCTCGACGTGTGGGGCTGTTCTCCCCCTCCATCCCCCGATCCTGCCCCTCTCATCGAGAAACCATTGATTTTGGGAGCGCGATCGATTCCTGTCTCCCGCCATCCCTCCCTTCCCCCCTGCATCCCTCCATCCTCTCCCCTCCGGGAGCCCTGCCCGGGGGGTACCGAGGCGGACTCGTCATGGATTCGGATGGGTCAGTCCACTCCTCCCAGTGTCCCCGACCCGCTCTGTCGCGACAGCCAGCGGCCCCGCCTAGAGCTGTGGCTACCCCTTCCCCATTCCCCACGGGGTTTTGGCACATCCCGGGGAGCTTCAGGCCTGGAGAGCCCCAGGGATCTTTGTGGGGGCCCCGCCGCCTCCCTGCTTGCTCGCAGGCACAGTAAAAGCCCGGTCATCCCTCCCTCGGCGGGAGCTCGGCTCCGCATCCCCGCCCCGAGGCCACGGGATGGGCGTGTTCTTCCAAGGACGAGGAGAGGGAGGAGGGAGCGGAGAGGGGGTGATGTCTGGAGGGACAGAGCACAAGATGCTTGACAGCAAAATGTCAGATTTGATCCTCGATGACGGCTCCCATCCTCCCAGGAGTCGTGCCCAAAGCCCCCCCAACCTGACACCTGCTGCCCGGCACGGATTTGGCCCAATCCAAATAACACTCCGCAAGTAGAGCCCTGGGAACGGTCCAAGGGGACCTGAGCAGATGGACAAGTCCACCTTGGTACAGTGGTCCACTGAGAGGCCGCGCAGAAGAGAGGGACTGCTTCAAATCCAGCAGATACATCCACAGGGCAGTGCTTCCGTGTCTCCCTTCCTGCTGGAGCAGAGTTTGAACGGCCACGGTGCTCTCAGCATCTTCGGAGCTGAACCATGACTCATCCCCATCCCACCCCTGTGGCTGGCTAGTCACCCAAGCATGTCCTCACCCTCACCGTGACACTCCCAAGCACCCGCACTCAGGGAATTACAGCATCAGGCATTTGGAGTTGTGGTTTATAGGCACTTTCCCCTCATTTTGCCCACTCTCCGAACACCCCTGGGCTGTCATCCTCTCCCGAGCCCCATGGCAGGGAGTCCTGCGGTCAGTGGGGCGGCACTTGGGGGCTCAGCATCTCCAAACAGACCCACCCTGCTCCTTACCCAGGTTATTCCACATCCCAGGCTCCCCGCGCTGCTGTGGGGATGCAGAACCACGGATCGGCCCATGCTGGTGTTGCCCCATGGCTGCGGAGCTCAGGTGGGAGACCCAGGGATGGAAAACTTGCTTTGAGGAGCATGGAAGGGGGTTAAGATGCCACAAGGATGTAACCAGCGGGGGAGAGGACACTCGTTTTCTGGTTTGCCTGCCATCCACGGCGCTCCGCTGAGCTCCTCCGAAGATGCCTTCATCCATCATGCAAGAGGAAGGAACCCAAGTGTCCTAGATACAGTGGCAGCATTTCAGGAACATTTCATGTTGTGCTAGAAATGGGTCAGGGATGAGGCGCGTGTGGCAAGAGGGATACTCATCCCTCCTCATGCTCCTGAGGGCCAGGCTCTCACCTAGACACTTGGGAGGGTGTTGGAGCATGAAGCAGCACGGCATGGGATACACCATCCATCCAGATCCCCACTCACCGACCCCTCAGCTGACACAAGGGGTTCATGTCACCATCTGTGCCTCAGTTTCCCATGGGCTGAGAACAGTGAGTAACAGCAGTGCTCTGGTGGCTCTGCAATCATGGATGGATGGATGGATGGATGGATGGATGGATGGAAGGCAGAGCAGGTTCTGGAGCCTGCTTCTCACACCTCACTTGCCTCAGCCCCAGGCACCCCAAGTTTCACTGTGCTCCTAAACATGTGGCAAGTAGAGGCTGGTGTTGACCATCACAGCTCCAGAGACACAACTCCCACTGGTCAGGGACATTGCCTACTTCAGGAGAAGGCCAAGCCACCAGGTTGGGCTCTCCTGGCTTCTCCAACTCCGCCAGGATCAGGTGAGCACATGAGCCACCACCCTGGGAGCATCCTGATTGCAGGACCTACCTGGCCAGAGACAATGCGGCTTCTTCTTCCATCTAGAAAAGTCTTTCCTCAGCTTGGCCTCAAGCACTTCTCCAAATATTTAAGAGTCCCGACCACCCCGTCCTCTCTCTTGATGTTCCATGGTATGCAAACCTGTTCAGGTGATAGCAGAGTTATGTTTTTATTAGGAATGTAATCCAGGCAACCTTTCCCAGGCTCACAGAGGCCAATCCTCCTCTGCACTAGACTTCCCCCACCCTGGCCAGCAGACCTGAGCGATCCCGCAGGGCACAATCAACGCAGAGGAACCAGCCCTCTGGCTCTAATTAGTTTTGCATGATTGTTGGGGGAAGAAATCCGTTTTCATAACCAGAAAGGATTTATGCTTCTCCTTCTTGCCTTTTTTTTTTTTTCTCCCCCTTCTAAGTCCCAGAGCACTTTGCTTGAGGCTGGCGGGGAGTCGTTTTATGAATGGTTTAGATTGAGCAATGCATTATTAATAACAGCCAATCAAGCAAGCAGCATAATATATATCATTTCAGGAGGTTCACTTGATTCAGTAAAGTTATTTATTGTGCTAAGAAAAGCCAGAGAGACACTGAGTCTTCCTGGAAGGGGGATTTTCACAGGGTGGCTGCGGGTGGAAGGGATGTCTGCACCAGTGTCAAACCTTCCTGTTGGAGGTGGAAGCTGGTGGGGCTTTTTGGGGGAGCCCTCAAAACCATTCTCTCCAGGGTTTGAGGGCTGTTGGATGCTGCTCTGCTCCCCTCACAGTGAGAGACCCTTTTCTGGCTGGATGAACGGCAGCTCAAGGCAAGAGAAACAGCTAATCCCGCTCCCACAGCCCATTGGCTCCGTCATTGTTTTACAAGGCTTTGATGAGGCCGGTGACAGCAGAAAGATGGGCTCTGCCCTCTGCCCGCGCCCCTCGCGAGGCTGATCCCCCGCAAAACCCTCCAGTAGCCACCAGAGGATCCTCACAGTGAATTTGGTGACAAGCCTTGTGTGTTGTCAACGTGCCGGCTCCTTTGGGATCACTGCTGTAACAGGAAGAACTCATCGCTGTGTCCAGGACGTGGTTTGTTCCCAAGGGGCTCCCAGGAGATGGAAGGCACTTTTCCTCCCTGTATCCCCCGTTTTCCAAGCCTGGCAGCTCCTCTTGCACCCTCTTGGAGGGGAGACCTTAACCTTCCCTGTCCACCTTCATCCTTTCCCTACCCACTTTTACCCTTTCCCTGTCCATCTTCACCTTTCCCTGCCCACCTTCACCCTTCCCTACCCACCTTCACCCTTCCCTGTCCCCTTCACCCAGCTCAAGCCCCCCAGAGCACTTCTCACGCCTCTCCCTCTGTGCCCAGCACAGCAGCCCAGGCACCTCAGTGACGGCCACGGTACCCCCCCAGGCACAGGAGGGACCCCTGGTGGGCCCGGGGGGTGCGGGTGGTGTGAGACGTGTGGGTGTGAGTGAGCACAGGTGGGTGTGAGAGCACGTGTGAGTGTGCACGAGTGAGTTTACCCGCGAGTGTGAGCACCAGTGAGTGTGAGCGCCCCGAGGACGGCGCCAGCCCCGGTGCTCCAGCCCGTGTGCGGCTGTACAAAGAGGACACCTGGTGGCATGTGCCCCTCACTGCCGTGTCACACACAGCCCTGCTCGCGGACACCCAATGTGGCCACCTCCGACTGTCACCAGGGCCACATCCAGCCTTGGGAGAGGTCCTGAGGGGCGGGGAGCGAGGCAGGGTGAAGAGAACCCCAAGCGTCTCCCCTCCTGCCTGGCTGGAAAAAAGGAGGAAAAAAGACACCCCAATAAATTACACTGGCTTGTGTTGTGTCATTTATTTGATAAATACGTTAATTTGATTAGGCTATTTCTTCCCCCTAGAGCTGGCCCAGGAACCTGAACCTTTTAAGCCAAGTGCTGGGAGCAGAGAAGTTTTGGGAGTCCTGTTTGATGCTGCTGAGAGCTTCCCTGCATTCCTTGTGAGCATTCCTGTGTCCCTGGTGAGCATTCCTGCATCCTTGGTGAGCATCCCTGAGTCCCTGGTGAGCATCCCTGCATCCCTGGTGAGCATCCCTGAGTCCCTGGTGAGCATCCTTGCATCCCTGGTGAGCATCCCTGAGTCCCTTGTGAGCATCCTTGCATCCCTGGTGAGCATCCCTGAGTCCCTTGTGAGCATCCTTGCATCCCTGGTGAGCATCCCTGAGTCCCTTGTGAGCATCCTTGCATCTCTGGTGAGCATCCCTGAGTCCCTTGTGAGCATCCTTGCATCCCTGGTGAGCATTCTTGCATCCCTGCAGCCCTGGTGCAGTTAACCTGAGACCTGGTCGGCTCAGCTCACCCCAGGGTCGTGCTCACTCCCCTTCCAGATCCCGGAGGACGAGGTTGCGCTGTGCCAGCGCCTTGGCCACCCTGGTGGTGAGCAGCTTCTCCTGCACGAAGGGCCAGAGGAGGGTGTAGCTCTGAGCGTTGCGGTGGGTGAGCATCATCTCCATATCCAGGCTCACAGGGAGTGCCAGGGCTCCCCAGAGATCCTGCAAGGCCTTGGCCTTGGGCAGGGCGCCTTCTCTGAGTCGCTGCTGCAGGTACCTTTTCAGTAGGCTTTTCAGCCTGTAGGAACGGGCCTCAGGCACCTTGTCCTTGACCAAGGACAACATATCCATGTAGCCACACACAACATGGCAGAAGTCCCCTTTCCTGCTCGTGGCATCCAGGGCTTTAAAGAGAGCACGCAGCTCCAGTGCCCAGAAGTTATAGAGGATGAGGATGGGTCTGGGGAGCAGGGAGAGGAACCAGATGAGGTACTGCACCCCCACCTCCACGGGGACGCTCTGGGGGAGCAGTGCCAGCACTGACTCAGGGGTCTGGATCAGTGCCTTGAAGGACTGGTCTCCATTCACCGCCGCCATCTCCATGATGTGCTGGGCTGCGGAGGGGAAAGGACGGGGCTGGAGTAAGTGTTTGGGGGTGCCCCTCTCTGCCCCTCAGCCCCTGGGAAAGGCAATGCTCACTTCTCGGATCAACCTTCAGGCTGAGGAACACCAAAGTGCCCGGCTCCAACCTGTCGTCCAGGGGGCTGGTGGGGCCAGTGCTGTTGTGGGGTGAGGTGCCACTTCTGGACCACGTGGGGCTGGAAGGCTTCTTGATGTCCTTGGGCTCGCTGAAGGCCTGCAAGAGATTGAGAAGGGATCCAAGTCCCATCTGCCTGCTTGGACCTGGCTGGGAAGTCATGAGGAGCACCCTTGGGTGCATCATTGGCCATGGACAGGGGATCTGCTTGTGGCAGTGCCACAAAAACTACAGGTGTATGTCCTGGAACTGGGTGTGTGCTGTGTCTGGAGTGGGCTGGCCCTGGGGAGCCCTGTTGAGAGCCCAAAAACAGGGTCAGAGACAACTAATCCAGAGCAGAGCCCTGAATCCAGCTTGTCCTGTGCAGGGTTGGGATTCAGGCACTACCACACAGGTCCAGGGATTGCTGTCCCTTGCTGTTCATCTTATATGGATGCAGATCAAAGAGGGGCATAACCATGCCTGAGCAACGTCACTCCATGACATACTTAAAGATCTTGTTGATGTCTAGAAGAAATTGGATCAGGAAGGCTGGATCAGGTCAGAAGGAGGTTTGGGGCCTCTTCAGGCTCAGCAGATCCAGTGCCTACAGCAGTGCTCCCCAAGGATGAACAGAAGCAGCCACACCACCCAGCCCCTGCCCAGCATCAGCAGGGATGGACATCCACAGTGAGTATTTCCCTACAGGAGGAGTAGGACAGCAACACATTCATGAGGCTCCAACCTTGGTTTCCTTCCCTCTTTCCCCGCAGGACAATCCTGCACCTCTTTAGTGGGTATCCTGCAGCGATGGGACATCCGTCTCCCTCCACACCAGCTCTCTGCAACTTCACCTACAGCTCAGGAGTGGTGGAAACATGGCTGGACAGACACTTTCAGGCTCCTCAGCTCAGGGAATGTGGGATTTTTACCTCTGGGACCTCTCTTTGCTACACCCTTAAATCCACGTCGTACTACAGGACACCTGGTTCATTCAGGGATTTCTGCCAGCAAGCTGCTAACATCCCCCAAAGCCCCAGTCCTGTGACTTTTTGCCACTAGCAGGGACTGGGGACAGGTTTTAGCCCCACAACTCTCTCTTCCCCTTTGTTAGAGATGAATCAGAGGAGCCAGGAAAAACAGAATAGGAAGAAATGAATAAGGAAGCCAGCAGTGGCTGGGATTTAATATGGGAACAGCTTTATTGAAAGAGCAAGAAAAGCTTCTGCATTAGTTTATACATTAAAAAAAGGTGTTCACCCCTCATTAAGCCAGTATTGGAAAAACAACCCCACTTCCCGATCCCAAATCAGCCACACTTGCCTCTCATTCCCGGGGGGTCCCCTTCTTGTGATGGTGACATGGTATCTCATCAAAGATCCCACCCCTTGGATCATGTCACCACCTTAGCCAAGGCCATTTGGTTGCCACACACCAGTTTGCAGCACCAGAGCGGTGAAATGTCACTTTGGGGGTGCTCAGGTGGTCCATCCCTGCTCCGGTGGCTCCCGGGAACGTCTCAGCCCGTGTAGGTACAGGGCTGATGAACTCTGCGAGCACAGATGCTACATTCAACTCCCTAATTTAATTTTTAGATCAAAATTGATTGTTTTTAAGCTGCGAACCACTTCCCAGGGAGCCACAAAGACAGACTGGGAAGGGTTGCCTCGGATGATCCCACCTCAGAGCAGACCAAGGCAGGGTTTACAGAAAACCAGGAGCAAAGGCCTTAGCCTGTTAGAAGGAGATTCAGGATGGCCCGGATGCCGTGCCACCTGGGAGCACCTGAAGTGGAAGAGAAAGCCACAAGCAAGTTTCTGGGTGCTGCTGGGAAGGAGAAAGCTTGGCTCCAAGCACAGCTGGAGGAAAGGGAAAGGCATCCTGAGATGACGGGGTGAGGCCGCCTCTTCTCTGGCAGTGCAGCTCAAGGAGGGAGGTCTGGTATTACACTCACCACCGTGTCCTCCTCGCTGTCATCCGAGCTGCAGATGATGATGCTGGTGATTTCTGTGGGAGGAACAGGAGGATGCTGAAGCTCCAAGACTCTGATTTTGGATGCCACCAGATCAGCTCTCCCGAGTTTTGCTGCAGTACCAAGAACCACTCGACCCCTGGATGCACCCCAAGGTGCTTTCCACTGCTGCTTCGCCCCATGGATCCTGCACCAGCCTCTCCAGAAGATGCATTTCATCCTCTATCCTGTTTGCAGAGCTGATCCCAGGACTCCTCACTGTGGGATGCAGTGGGGCTGGCTCACCTCGGGGAAGAAAATGTGTTTTCCTAAGAATTATAGTGGGTTTTGCTCCCTGAAAATTTACTACTCCTGGAGCAGGAGGTGGAGGAGTCTTTCTGCACTTTCCCTGCTGATATACCCTTCCCTAAGCTTGGATTTTGGCTGCCTTGAAAGCAGGACATGGAGCTGGATGGAGCATCCACGTCCACCCCGAGCACTGCTGTTGTATTTATTCCCTGGGAAGCAGCTCCCACTCTCTGCTTCTCTGACCCAGGGGAGGTTGGCCAAGGCTCTGAGTGCCTGGGGGTGCAGAGAGGCCGGGAGCAGACCCCCATAATGGAGAGAAAAATATGGGATAGCAAGGAGGGCAACACTTACGGCCCCCACCTGCATCATCCGTGCCGCTGCTGGTGGCAAGGGTGCTGCTGCAGTTCCATCCGGGCACGGAGGTGCCGGGCTCCCTCTGGAAATCCCACTGGTTTGACTTGGGATTGCTGGGGCCCGACGTGTCGTCACACTCCAGCTTCAGCATTTTGGGAGAGATCTGGCTGCCCCTTTCCATGTGGTGAAACATCCGCTTGTGCCATGAGGGGACAGGGAGAGCCTGGACAGGGGAGAGCACAGCGGGTGGAAGGTGCCGGGGTGGCAACTCCTGGTCCCCAAGGGCTCCTGCCTGGCCAGGATGGTTCTTACCGTGTCCATATGCACCTCGTCAAGGTTGGTGGGTGAGGTGCTCTGCTTTTTGTGCTGGACTTGATCCTCTCGCTGTGGAGAGAGCACAGAGTAGCATTAGGGTGGACCTGGAGAACACCGACCCCTCTGCAGGGCTGGGGTGTCCCCAGACAGCGTGGGGGGCAGAAACATCCTCAGGAGGGGGGAAACTTAGACACAGCCCGGCCCTGTGGCTTGGCTCAAGGTTTGTGCTACAGTTGTGGCTTTCCCTGTGGAAAGTGAGGGATGAAGCAGCAGGCTCAGAGAAGTGGGATGGGGTAGGCGAATGCCTGGGTACTGGAAAGCCCCAGGGGTTTGTTGTTGATGAAAAAATGGGACTGATGGGCTGGGGAGGGGAAGGTAGACCCTTGGGAAAGGTCAGAGGAAGGGAGAATCCATGTTTTGGCTGATGCAGGAGGTCTCCCCACAGGGCATCACACAGGGATGAAACACCGATGTCTCACCAGGTTGTTCTCCAGGGCCACCTCGACCACAGGGACAGGTCGTGATTCAGTATCTGAAATGGAGAGAACAGGGTTGAGAACCCAAATTGGAGCCTCCAGAGTTCCCATCTGGCCCTGACAGCAGCCAAGTTGGGAAAAACGTGCCTGACAGCTGCAGCAAGGAAGGTGCAGCTCTGGTCTCTTTTCCCTTTCCCAGTCTTTTGGTCTGGGATGGCCCAAGGGTTTAGGAAACTCTGGAAACCCAGAAATCATCATCACCAGAGCCTGTCCGACTGGTGGGAGACCAGAAAGGCCTCTGGCCATATAAACAAAGAAGCAACTCTTGGCCCCAGTAGAAATAAGGAACCACAGGAATGGATCTGGGCTTGTCCTGCTGAAGGGAGCAGAAGTGGAAGAAGAAAAGAAGCTGTGGCTGCCCCAGCCCTGAAAGTGTTCAAGGCCAGGCTGGACAGGCATTGGAGCAACCTGGTCTAGTGGAAGGTGTCCCTGCCCATGGCAGGGGTGGAATGAGATGACCTTTAAGGTCCTTTCCAATCCAAACCATTCCATGATCGTCAATGGCAAGTCCTCACCTGGGTGCCCTGTGACGCGCTCCACCAGCGCCTCCAGCCTGGCCCTGCACTCGGATAAGTCCCCGGGCTGCCCTCGGTCCATGGCCACTGGCAGCTGCAGCTGCTGGAGCTCCTGCAGCGAGTCCTTGATGAAGGGCTGCATGTCCATCACCTCCTGCTCTGTGGCGTAGAGGTTCATCTTCTCCACCAGCCTCTCGCCCGCCTCCATCCGCCGCAGCACCCCCTCCACGTGCCGCAGCTCCCGCTCCAGCTCCCGCCGGCCCTGCTCCTGACGCGCCTCCACCAGCCCCAACAGCTCCTCTTCCTCCTGCTGGATCAGCCGCACCAGCTGCTCCACGCGCTGCCGGATCAGCTCCCGCATCTCCCGCTGCGCCTCCTCCAGCCGGGCAGCCTCGCCCTGCAGGGACACGTAGGTGGCCTCGAAGCCGCTCCGGCGCCGCCGCAGCTCCCGCTCCATGGAGCTCAGCTCCTCCTGCCTGCGCTGGGTCTCGCTGCGGATGTCGCAGAACGGTGCGTGCTGGTTGTCCAGCAGCGCGCACGAGCAGCACAGCGCCTTCTCACATCTCTGGCAGTAGATGCTGGCAGGGAACACGAGCGTCCTTCAGAGCCGGTACGGCATTGGGGTGGGAAAAGCCGCTCTGCTGCGCTGGGCACAATTTCCCCTGCCCGAGGGACTGGGTGAGGGGAAACTGAGGCACGGGGGCTTTGCCCCACTGCACCAGCTGCAGAGGCGGCCACAAGGCTGGGCCTTCAACCCTCCTTTGCTGCCCTCCCTCCTCCCAGGGTGCTGCCAATCCCATATCACACAGCCTCACACAATGGCATCTCCCGAGCTGGAAGGGACCCACAAGGATCATCAAAGTCCAGCTCCAGGCCCCGTGCAGGACACCCCAACAATCCCACCATGAGAGCATTGTCCAAGCGCTCCTTGAGCTCTGGCAGCCTTGGGGCCGTGACCACTGCCCTGGGGAGCCTGTCCCAATGCTCAACCACCCTCTAGGGGAAGGATCTTTTCCTAACATCCACCCTAAACCTCCAGTTACACAGCTTCATGTGATTCCCTCGGGCCCTCTCACACCTTGCTCCTGCCTGGGGTCTCACCAGTGTTGCAGCTTTTCCTCTCCAAAGGCAGGTAATGAAACCCCCTTGGCAGGGTTGCTCCTGGAGCAGCAGCCCCAAAGCCCTTGGAACAGGATGGGATGCAGGAACAAGGCACTACTCTCACCTGCAGACGCGGCTCTGGTCGGGGTGACTGGAACTGGTGCAAAAAAGGCTGCAAGACTTCCTGGTGTCTTCTAAGAAATGATGGGCTGACTCAGCACGAAGCTCCTCCACCTTCCTGACTTTGTGAGTCTTCTTCTTGTGCCACCACTGATGGTCCTCAAAGCACTTGGCACAGAAGAACTCCTCGCACTCGCAGCACCACACCAGCGCCGCTTCGCCCCGGCACCGGCTGCAAGTGGGACCACCGTCATTGGTGATCTGCTTGTAGACCCTCAGCCGGGCCTGCAGGTTGGTGAAGAGCAGGTTGTCCATGTCTGGGATGCCGTTGGCCTGTGGGATGGCCGTGCAGCACACAGGGCACTGCCCGACGGGCTTGTTCTCACTCAGGCAACCGAGGCACAAGGTGTGGAGGCAGGTGAGGAGCTTGAGGTTGGGCGATTCCTGCTGGCAGCCCTCGCAAAGGAGGAACTGGAAGTCATCTTCCACCACTGGAGGGTGGGATGGAGGTGAGCACACAGGTGCATCTGGCTGGGGTCTTGTCTCCATGGGGGCAGTGGCACCATCTCCATCTAGGTGAGATGTGGAGGAAAGACCCCCATGAGATAGAAGTTTGGGAGGCTCAGTCCCACCTTAGGCATCCCGCATCACCCAGCTGCTGTGGGGGAGGGATGAGGGAGCCGCAGGGTGTGTCTGAGGCTCCTCTCCATCCCTGCTGCCGAGGGAGAGCGGGTCGCAGCACTCTGGGTGCTCTCCTGTGGATGCAAAGGGTTGTGCTCCCCCCTACCCTCTGTGTGGGACCTCAGAGGTTCTCCTCCACCCTCCCCAACCGCCTTCCTTTTCAGGAATTCTGGATTTCAAAACTGGGGGTGGGGCAGGGGAACTGAAGCAAAACGGTTTTCGTTTTGCTGCTACCACCTTTTCCTGCTCTGCAAGCGGGAAAAGCAGCGGAGGGAAAAGGGGGTACCCTGGCAACGGTCCCCAGAGATTCCTGCAAAACCTCCCAGGCAGCACTGGGATGTTGGCAAAAGCTCTGTCCCCAAAGGTGTCCCCTTCCCCACCCCTCGTCCCCCCAGCCCTCCCCCAGGCCGGTAGGGCAGAAACCGCCCCCCTCCCCCGCCAATAAAGCCGGGACCGCACTTATCACCCCCCGCCTGCAACGGTTTTGTACCCTAAAAACTAACGCACACTCCTCCTTCCAAGCAGGCAATGCCCGCACGTCCCTTTGGGGAACTCTGGATCGAACTTTGTCCTCCTCCCCATCCCGTCTCCCTCTCCAGAAAAGCAGGGAGCCCCTCGTTACCTGCTGGGGACCCGTGGCCGGGCGGTCGGGGGGCGGCGGGGCTGCCGGGCATGGGAGCGCTGAGAGGAAACAGGCGCCTCAGCTCACTTTCGTTTCCTCAGCCTGGCTGTAAAAGGAGGAGGAGGAGCTGGCGGGGAAAAGGCGGGGAAGGCACAGGGGGTGGCCCGGGCCAGGAGAGACAGAAGGAGCTGGTGGGTGGGAAAGGAGTGAGATGGTGGGGGTTCCCCGCTCCCACCCTCTGCCTGGGGGTACCGGCCGAAAATGCGAGGGAGACGGAAATGCAGGGAACGTGGGGATGTTGGTACTGGGGCGGAATATTGGTACCGGGAGGGAGGGCAAGCCGGCACCGGGGGGCACCCTGGTAACCGGGTGGGGATGCTGGCACCGGGAGGGTGTTGGCACCAGGGGGATGCTGGCATTGAGAGGGGTTCGGATGGCAAAGCTCTGCTCCAGCCGTCAGATAGGACCCCCGAACTGCGCTGTCTCGGCTGCAAGAGCTGCTGCTCTCTCTGGGGCAGTGTCAGGCTCCCACTTCAGCCGAGCGGGGCTTTAAAGCCTCACTATTGTCATCCCCTATCCTCGGCGGCGCCGCTCTTGGATCTCCACTACCTTTTCAGCCGGCGAGATCGAGAGTGGGGGGCTTTGGCATGGCGGGAAGGCCACGCCGGAGCGGGAATTCCCGGGAAAACTACCTTTCCCGCTTCCCTGTGAGGTCGGGGTACCCCCCGGAGCCCCCCATGGTGAATGTGTGATGGAGACCCCCGTCTTCCCCATGGCGGAGCGGTTCCCTGGCAGGGCCTCTCCGGAAAAACTCACCGAGCCGTGAGCCATGAGCCGTTTCGTCCCTGTGCCGTCAGCAGCCACATGACGAGCCGACCAGGAAGCGACAGCGGCTCCCTCCTTCCTCCCCTCAGCATCCTCAGCGCGGCCTCCGCTCCCCACGGCCACGGGGCTGCCGGTCGAGGACACCCCAGGGTCAACTCCAGCTCCCGGCCGGGGGGGCAAAGTGAGGAGTGACCGCGGGGTCGCAGCTTTTGTCTCCCGGCTCGGCTCCTGCCCAGAGGGTCTCCGGGAGGATGTGAAGCCTCCAGCACCCCAGCTGGTGTGAGACTCGGGCCGGGGAAGCCCCTGAAGGATTGGATTTCTTCCAGCAAATGTCCTCCTGTGATGTGACTACAGCAGGGCTTGTCATCTCTCACGGCAGGGACGGTGGTGACAGGGACAGAGGTGGCTGCGATGGCAGCAGGGAGCCAGGATTAGAGGAGCACCTTGGAGCACCAGGAGCAAGGCCCTGTGTGAGGCACCAGCACCATGTTCAGCCGGTCGGGATACCAAGCCCTTCCCCTGGGAGACTTTGACCGCTTCCAGCAGTCCAGCATCGGGTTCTACGGTGCCCAGAAGGGCTTTTTCTGCTTCAGAGACAAGCAAGACCCGCTGGGACCGGCTGGGAATGCCACAGGTGAGCCCCAACCCCCCTGGGATGACTGGGAATACCACAGATGACTCCCACTCTTGCAGGGGAGTTGCTGTCTTCCTCCCTATTGCCCCTGGCGCTGTAGGGTGCCGCCCTGGTAGGGTGCCGCCCACACTGCTCACTGCCGAGGGTGCATGGAGGGGAGAGGCTTGGATGGGGGTTCATGGGCAGGGCAGGGGGGTTTGGAGCTGGTACAACCCCCTTTCACCCTCCTTGCAGACACCTCCCAGGGTTGGCTGTCCTGGATCTGCCATGGGATTATCACCTCCTTGGTTTTCTTGCTGATGGTTGTCACCTTCCCCATCTCGGGGTGGTTTGCCCTGAAGGTGAGTGAGGAAAGCAGGTGAGGAGTGGGATGACAACCAACCTCCATAAGGGGACTGTTACGAGCTGCCCCTAGTCCTGGAATTGCAGGATCCAGGGGTTTTGCTTCTGCCCTGGTCTAAACTTTCCCTGTTCCAGGTCGTGCCCACCTATGAGCGAATGATCATCTTCCGCCTAGGCCGCATCCAGGCCCCGCAGGGACCCGGCGTGGTCCTGCTGCTGCCCTTCATCGACCACTGGCAGCGAGTGGATCTGAGGACGAGGGCCTTCAACGTGCCCCCCTGCAAGGTGACTGCCGTCCCTCAGGGTGGGATGGAGAAATAGCTCTCAAATTCCCAGAGCAGGTGGATTTTGGGATGGTCTGGGCCTTGGTGACCCAGGTTTCAGCTCCTCCTGGCAAGGCCGGGGACATTGTAGCTGATGCTGTGTAGTCAGTCCTCAACATGCCTTGAGGTCAAAAAGGTCCTCTCGCCTTGTTCAGTGGGTGTTCCTGGCTGAAGACATCCCAAAACCATCAATCCCTACCCTTCCCAGATGTCTTTCAATAACAAACCCATACTGCAAACTGTCCTCACCATCCAAGCTAGCCCCAAATTAATTATTTGGATTGGTTTTGTTTCTAATAATCCTCTTAATAAAGACATCTGGGAATGCCTTTGCTCCCAGGATCTACACACGAGGGTGGGGCCGTGGGGCAGAGAAGGGAAGAGCTCCTGACTCCTTTCTGCCCCAGGTTACCTCCAAGGATGGGGCAATCATCTCCATGGGTGCCGACGTCCAATTCCGGGTGTGGGACCCTGTGTTGTCTGTCATGATGGTGAAGGACCTCATTGCGGCCACCCGGATGACGGCACAGAACGCCATGACCAAGACCTTGATGAAGAAGAGCCTCCGTGAGATCCAGGTGGAGAAGCTGAGGATCGGGGAGCAGCTGCTGGTGAGGACTGCCTCAGAGCCCCCCAGGACACCCAAACCCTTGGGATTGCGGTGCGGAAGTAACAGTAAGGAAAAGATGGAGCTGCTGAAAGTCCCTCTGGCCACAGGCCTGGCCAAGGAAGGGAGCTGGGAAAATGTGGTGATTAGCAGGGAGATCTCCAGAGCTCTGTGGTTCATCTCTAAGGGCTTCGGGTGCCCAGAAAGGCTCACGTGTTGTGATTTGACCTCCTTATCTCCGTCAGGAAAAGGTCTGGAGGGAGCCTGGAAAGGGCTTTGGGTGAGAGAAGAAGGACAAGGTGGTGACAGAGGGGCAGTGAGCCCTGCCTGCAGTCAGCCTGGGCCAGGCCAAGATCTTGTGGGTTCAATGTCTACAAGGAGTGATGCAAAAAGAGGCTGGGGGGTATCTCTGGGGTGCCTGGGGTGGTTCGGAGGCCAGAGATACTGCCTGGTGGATCACGTGTTGCCCAAGGGCGAGCAAGGAAAAGGACTGTGGAAAGAGGAACAAGATAGAGCCATGTCCCCTGTCCCAACCTCCTCCAAGCTGGGAGAGCAACTGAGGAAGGAGGGTTTGAATGTGAGAGTGGACTGTTTGGAGGAGGAGGAGAACTACTGAGCCTGGTCTAACACCCCACTTGTGGGCAGAGCAGTACAAGCTATAGGATGCTGATGGTTGGGGGTGCCATGGTGAGGAGGTGGTCTCCATGGCCATATCCAGCTCTTCCTAGGCTGTCAACACCTCTCCCTTTCTTCCCAGTTGGAGATTAACGACATGACCAAGTCGTGGGGCCTGGAGGTGGACCGGGTGGAGCTGAGCATGGAGGCTGTGCTGCAGCCACCCCGGGAGAACCTGGCGGGCCCTGTGGCCACCGTGCCACCAGTGCCGGGGCTGGAGGGGCTGGATGGCACCATTCAGCAGCTGGCTGCCCACCTCTTCGGCAGCACCCTGGCTCTGGCCGGTGGCGGGACCGGCGCTCCAGAGGCAGGTAACCAACCCCGGGTCACTGCTCCTCGGCTGGGGGATGTCCCTCCTGCCCGGTGACCTTTGTGACCGTTGGCCATCTGACAGAGGAGTCAAAGTCCGGCAGATGTCACGCTTCTATGAGCACAGCACAGATAGGCTGGTAGCAGGGAGGAGAGGGGTCTGCCTTGGGCACAGCTCCATGCAGCATGTGGCCACAGCACCACCATTTCAACAAGACATTGGAGAAGGGGCGGGGAGGGGCGAAAACAGAGCTGCAGGAGCCCCGGGCTCAAGGCCAACTCATATCTCAGCGTTTCCGCCAGGCAAACTCGAGCCTAAGTTTGCCAAGAGTCATGTGGATTTTCCTCCAGAAACCCTGCACCAATTTGTGCCCCGTTAACTTTTCAGGGATAATTTTCCTTGCCCTGTTAGCCAGGGAAGAGTAACCCATGGCAGACAGTGGAGCAGGAACTGGCAAAGCCAGTTGCCCTCTTCTTGCTTAGCTGGAGCCTTGCTGGAAAAGTGGGTTTCTTTCCTCTGGAGACCTTGGTGGGTCTGGCTCACGGCACAAAGGTGTTCCCTAATCTGTCCCATTGTCCCCAGCAGACAGTGTGGAGACTGTGAACGAGGTGGAGCCTCCCACCGCTCCCCTCCTTGCCCAGAGGAAGCCCAGTGCAGACGAGCTGCTCTCAGCGGTGGAGTCTGTCCTCTCCGAGGCCCTGGTCAGCCAGGTGGGAGCATCCTACCAGGTCAACATCGCCCTGTCCAGTGGCACCCGGAGCACCTACTTCATAGACCTCTCCTCAGGTCACCGCTCTTTGGGGTTGTTGTGTTGGAGGTGTGAGGGTGTTTTGCTCTTGTGCCCCCTCTGCATGCTGCGAGCCCCACCGAGCTTGGTGGCCAGAGGTCCCAAACCAAACCCCTTTGGTACCTCCATGAAAGCCACCCAGGGGCCCGTCAGGTGACTGACGCAGTTTGGTGACCGTGACATGGAGTCCACACTCCCTGGAAGTCCAAAGTATAATTTGTTCTGGCTTAAAACCATGAATTTTCCTTCAGAAATAGGGTATTGATGGAAAATTGACAGCCAGGTCTCATGGCTGGCCTGGAGACCTCAGGAGTTGTTGACTCTTTTAGGACAAGGGTGGTGGAGGGCCCCTGCCATGCTGGAGGGTGTCCTTTCCAGCACCCTACTACATCCCCCACAGTTGCCTATCGTTTTCCTGGTGGTCATGGCAAAAGCAGGACAGGGCTTGGAAGTGGACCACTGTAAAGGACATTGGTGGACCAGCACAAGAGAAATTGATCTCCATAAGGGTGTAAGGACTCCTGTCTCCAAAGTCTCCCTGCCAGGCCCTTGTCTGTCATCTGGCCCATCTCAAATCTCATGAAATGTCGGGGGGGGGAAGCACCAGCTGGATCAAGGCTGGATCCTGAACTCGCTTCTTCTCCCTCTCCCACCCACCGTGTCCTACAGGCAGCGGGCGGATTGGCCATGGCGTTCCCGAGGGCGTTCCTGACGTCACTCTGGAAGTGTCGGAGAGGGACCTTCAGGACCTCTTTCTGGGTGACCTGCGCCCCCTGAGTGCCTACATGAGTGGGAGGCTGCAGGTGACAGGTGACCTGCACCTGGCCCTGAAGCTGGAGGAGCTCATCAAGGCCATGAAGCAGCATAGATAGAGCGTGTGCGTGGGCGCGTGTCCGTGTGCTTGTGTCTCTGTCGGTGTGCCAAGGCGTGGGGACATTTGGGAGGACCGTGCTGTGTGGTGAGGGCCTTGCCATGCTGGAGCTCCTGCTGCCCTTCCTGTGGAGGCTGTGGGAGTTGGGTGAACATCTGAGCAGGGAAACTGAGGCTGAGCTCCGATGCCCATCCTTGTCCTTGGCTCTCCCTCTGCTCTTCAGCCCCTGTTTACAACATTACGGGAACCAGCTGGCACCTCAGCATGTGCCAGTTTGCTTCCAGTTTCACAGAACCACAGACTGGTTTGGGTGGGAAGGCCTTAAAGCTCGTCTCGCTCCATCCCCTGCCCATGGCAGAGGACACCTCCACTAGAGCAGGTTGCCCAAGCCCCATCCAACCCGGCCTTGATTTCCTGGGCCAGGGCACAGACCGATGTCCTGGAGTCCCCACAACCTGGTGCATGGCCAGGGATGTCACTGGAAGGGGCGTGAGGTGAGCAGCTATGTGGAGGAGAGCTTGGGGACACTGTGGTCGAGGACAGGAGCTGTGGGATGGGGTGGGCAGCCAAAATGGGCCATGAGGGCTGGCTGCACCAGGCTGGGATGCCACCAGCAGGCTGGAACTGGGATCCAGCGTGGCACCACTGATGGGATACCAGCACTTGCAGGGCTGGATTAGAGGTGGCAATCTGGGGAATGACCTGCCTTCCCCACACAGTGGTTTGTAATTAGTGACTGCGCTAATTTGTGCTTCAAGATCCTTTTGCATGCGTGCTGTGAGGTGTGTCCACGGTGAGTGGGGACTGGATATAGGCATATAGAGATATTTATTTATTTTGTAAGCTTCCTTTCTATCTGATGGACAATAAACATGATGTGCAGCCTTGGGCAGTGCTGGGCTCGTGAATTCTGCAGGCAGATGTGGCTGCACCCCTCATGCCTCAGTTTCCCCCAAGGCAGAGACCAGAGGATGGGAGGAGCTTCCAGGCGAGGAGGCTCGATTGTGATGAACACATGAAGTCCTGGAATGGTAAGGAAGAGCTGGCAGGATGCCGTGTGGCCTCTTGGGAGATGCCCAGCTCCCCAGCAGCATCCAGCACCCCAGGGGTTAAAATGGCTCGGAGCTCCAGGCAGCTTTAGCAGCTCCAGGATGTTTTGCTGGACCAGTGGGACAAACCTGAATGGTCTTGCTGTCCTGTCCCATCCATGCCAGGGGCTTCTTGCCGGAGTATGGGACAGGAGGAAAGAGAATTAACATGTTTCCAAACCGGAAATGTTTGGAATTGAAATGTTTCACGACTAAACCACCTGTTAAATGTCTTCTTCAAAGCCTGGGGCTGGGTGGCACCAGCCTAGACCAGGCTTTGGGGATCCTCAGGGCATCAAAAGCCCCCAGAGGAGTTGACAGCAGTGTCCTACCATGCCCTCTCCCTTTGAGGGTGCCAGGAAAGGCGAACCCCAAGTACTCCTGATGGCCCCCTCTTTGTAGTGGTCCCCTCTTTGTGGCAGTCCCCCTTTTGTGGTGGTACCCTTTCATGGTGGTCCCCATGGTGCAGATGGCTGGGGGTACGGAGGCCCTGCAAGAAGGAGCAAAGGACAGACAGAACACAGGAAAAAGGGACGTGGAAATCCTCTCCGAGGTGGAGGGACAGCCCCTGAGCTCCCTCACGGCCTGCAAAGGGCACGGAAACTGCCTTTGACAATGCCCATCCGAAGCACAGCAGGGACTGGGACCCTGCTGTACATTTCTGGGAGCGCTTGTCCTTGGGGAAACGCCTTTTGGAGGAAATCTTGGGGTTTCTTCCCTCCCGGATGGCCGGGAAGGGCTGACCGGCTGTGAAGCGTTTCCCGCGCGGGAAGCGGAGCTGGGAGCGGGCTCTCCGAGGCTCCCCCGCCCAGACCAGGAGGAGGAGTTAATCCCGGAGCCGAAGAAACCGAAAGTACAGGCGGGGCAGGCAGCGCGATCCTTTCCCGCCCCGTCATGTCCCTGTCCGGCTCCCGCGCCCCGGTCGGTCCAGGAGGGATGCGGGAGGGATGCGGGCGGGACGCGGAGGGGGTTCCGGCCGCTTGAGGGGGTCGAGGTGTCCAGGACACCAGGAAGCCCCTTGGCCCGAGGAGTGGCGATGGGGATGAGAGTTTGGGGTGTCCGCTTCCCGGTTTGGTGGGTGGTGGGGAGGATGGGACTGGTCCCCAATCCAGCCCCCCCGCCCCCGCTAGGAGAGGGAGATAGGAGGCCAGAGGGATGGACCGAAGGGAGGCGGGGGTGGGTGTCAGGGACGATGGTCCCCACCCCACCAGAGTGTCGTCCAGGGGTCTTTAGATGTTTCCTCCGTGTCCCCATCCTTTGATCTGCCCCTCCTCAGCCCTCCCCAGCCCCACAGCCGGGGGGGCTGTTTCCTCTTTGCTAGAGGGAGAGGAAGGGCTCAGCAGGGCCCTGTCCATCCGACCTCATCCGGGTGCACAGGACACCTCTGTCCTGGCCATCACTGGTGGGAAGTGGTTACTCACTGGTTGATACAAGAAGGGTTTTTGGGTCACCTCTCCCCCCAAGATGAGGTTTCAGAAGCTCTTAAAAACACTCCTCAGTGCTCATTCCTCACCCTGCCCCCCTTTCTCTCTCTCCCCAAGCTCCTAGAAGATGACTTCCAGTTCCTCCTTTGCGAGGGCTGCCGGCAGGAATCGCCCAACCTCAAGCTCCTCACCTGCCTCCACACCTTGTGCCTCGGTTGCCTGGGCAAGAATGAGCCCACTGGGCAGTGCCCCGTGTGCTGCACGGCCATCCCACAGGCCAGCGGCATCCCAGACATGGACAACCTGCTCTTCAACAACCTGCAGGCCCGGCTGAGGGTCTACAAGCAGATGGTTGATGGAGTTGACTTGTTTTGCAACAACTGCAGGAAATCAGGGGAGTTCTGGTGCTCTGAGTGCTTCGAATTCCTCTGCACCAAGTGCTTCGAGGCCCACCAGCGCTACCTGAGGTCGGAGAGCCACAGACCCAAGAGGGTGATGGACATCAGGGCAGGGTCTGCAAAAGACTTCCTGCAGGGGATCAGGAGGACAGGGAGCTTGTCCTGTTTCAACCCAGACCACATGAGCCAGCCTGTGAGGTAGGTATGAGAAGGCTTGTCCTCATCTGAGGTCACCCTTGCCATCTCTTTGGGTCCTATGATAGGACCCCCAGAGGGTGGTTGAGCATTGGGACAGGCTCCCCAGGGCAGTGGTCACGGCCCCAAGGCTGCCAGAGCTCAAGGAACACTTGGACAATGCTCTCATGGTGGGATTGTTGGGGTGTCCTGCACGGGGCCTGGAGCTGGACTTTGATGATCCTTGTGGGTCCCTTCCAGCTCCGGAGATGCCATTGCATGAGTCTGTGTGATATGGGATTGGCAGGACCCCAGGAGGAGGGAGGGCAGCAAAGGAGGGTTGAAGGCCCAGCCTTGTGGCCGCCTCTGCAGCTGGTGCAGTGGGGCAAAGCCCCCGGGCCTCAGTTTCCCCTCACCCAGTCCCTCGGGCAGGGGAAATTGTGCCCAGCGCAGCAGAGCGGCTTTTCCCACCCCAATGCCGTGCTGGCTCTGAAGGACGCTCGTGTTCCCTGCCAGCATCTACTGCCAGAGATGTGAGAAGGCGCTGTGCTGCTCGTGCGCGCTGCTGGACAACCAGCACGCACCGTTCTGCGACATCCGCAGCGAGACCCAGCGCAGGCAGGAGGAGCTGAGCTCCATGGAGCGGGAGCTGTGGCGGCGCCGGAGCGGCTTCGAGGCCACCTACGTGTCCCTGCAGGGCGAGGCCGCCCGGCTGGAGGAGGCGCAGCGGGAGATGCGGGAGCTGATCCGGCAGCGCGTGGAGCAGCTGGTGCGGCTGATCCGGCAGGAGGAAGAGGAGCTGTTGGGGCTGGTGGAGGCGCGTCAGGAGCAGGGCCGGCGGGAGCTGGAGCGGGAGCTGCGGCACGTGGAGGGGGTGCTGCGGCGGATGGAGGCGGGCGAGAGGCTGGTGGAGAAGATGAACCTCTACGCCACGGAGCAGGAGGTGATGGACATGCAGCCCTTCATCAAGGGCTCGCTGCAGGAGCTCCAGCGGCTGCAGCCGCCGGCAGCTGGGGACCAAGCGGAGCCTGGGCCCTTTGCCGAGTGCAGGGCCAGGCTGGAGGCGCTGGTGGAGCGCGTCACAGGGCACCCAGGTGAGGAGGCACTTGGGCCAGGTGTGTTGGGGAGGTGGGATCTGAAAGCAGAGATGAAGTGTATAACCCCTGTGTGGACCACATTCTCCATGGGTTTCTCATCTGTTTCAACATCTCAACTGATCCCATTCCCACCCCTGGAGGTGTTCAAGGCCAGGCTGGATGGAGCCCTGAGCAACCTGGTCTAATGGAAAGTGCCCCTGCCCATGGCTCGCAGGTTGGAACTGTTCTGTGATTCCATGATTCTATGAGTTGAGGGAGCCGTGCCCCACTCAGCCTTTGCTCATGCATTGAGCACGCTCCAGCCTCTCCCAGGGATGGGATGTTGTTGTTGCACCCGTCACTTCCAAAGCAAGGGTGTCTCTTGTCCTTGCAGAGTGTGGTGGGTGATCCCCAAACACAGTTGTACTGGGAGAGAATGTAGGGGATCCCCTGAGATGAATCTGCTGTCTCCAGACCTGGGCCATGACCTCCTTGGCTTTCTGTGGGTGTCCACCACTGAGCTTCCCAGGCCAAGCTCATGTGCCATGGATGGTCCATATAGGAGTCGAGGGGTGATGTCCTGGATGGAGCTTGGGGTTTCCTGGAGACAATCTGCCCCCCCCCACCCCCACTACCTGCATCTCCACTGCATGGTAGACACCATGCCTCTGTTTCCCTTCTGCACCTCTCTGAGTCATGCTTTGAGGACCCTTGGAGCCCTGACTATCTCCTCTTGCTTCCTTCATCCCTGCTTCCTGCTACAGGTACCTCCACTTCCCGGCACAACTCCCTGTCTGATGATAGCATTGTGATCCTTGACCTCAAGCATCCCGGGGAGGATTGCCAACCACAAGGAGATCTCCCTGTGGACCTACCAGCCCACAACCAGCCCTGTGCACCTGTGTCAGACCCCTCTGGTGGCAGAGGACACGTGTGTCCAAAACAGGGAGGGGATATGTCCCCCACCCTACCCAAGACTCTTCTGATACAGAGGGAGGAAGAAGCAGAGGAAGACTCAGGCTCAGCCCATGGGGACACTCTGCCTCTTCCCAGGAGCATCCAGGACTCTCTGGCCTCCCTGCAGGAAGGTTTTGGTGGCTGGGCCAGGTCCAACGTGCAGCAGGCGGACAAGTTCCTGAGGATGGGCACTCGCCTCCTGCAAGCTCAGCAGAGGGCAAACAGGCACCTAGTGGCCATGACCCGGGAGATCCGGGCCATGTCCCAGTCCCTGGCCACCATCTCCTCTGCTGTGGGACCCCTGCTGCAGCTTGTGGCCTGCCCACAGAACCCCTCCACTGCAGACATGGACTGGCCATCCCTGCCCTCCAACTTGCTGGACTTATTCCCTTCCAGCAACCCGCAGAAGGATGAACCACCAGTCCCAGCGGCTGCCGTGGCCTTTTCCCCCAGAACACCCCCTCCTGCCACCCCCCCTGCCAGCCCAGCACGCTCCGAGACCCCCAGCCTGGAGTCCGAGTGGGAATGCCCCAAATCAGTGCATCCCACCAGGAGCAAGCGGGGTGGGCAGCCCAGCACGAGGCTGAGGAAGCGGAGGAAGTGAGGGTCTGCAAAGCAGGACGTTTGCCATGGACTGTGGCTGCTTGGAAAACCCTCCAGAGGTCCCTGTGGAGACCTTTAGGGTTCTCTTTCACCTTGCCATGCCAATAAATCCTCCTGGGATGAACAGTGTGTTGTTAGTCTTTTGCTGGGTTTGGAAAGCAGCAGCTCCCCCATGAACTGTGGCGTGGCAATAACTTGCTCAGGAGCAGCATGATTACCACTAATGTTCCTTTTTCTTTCCTTTCCAGCGTGCGGGACCTCCTGGCTGATGGGTCTGGGATGGGTGGGAGGGCAGCAAATCCATATGGGAGAGCTGGAGGGTGGGGGAATGGATGGTGGCTGGGCGGAATGGACCTGTCTCCAGCCCAGCCTGGAGCTGACTCCTGGATTTCAGCCTCAGTAGCATCTCCAGGAGGTGACCCTCCGAGCCACCTGCACCTTCTGCAGATGCTTTTCTTCAAGGCTGCTTGAGCTCTGGCTCTTGGCTGGGACTTTCCAAGATTCCACTGGAATGAGACCAGCCAAGCTGGCAGGGCACAGGGCTGCACGCTCAGGGCAGACTTTGTCCCTTGAAGGCACTTTTCTGGCTCAGGTGCCAACATCTCAGCACAAGACATGCCTCTGCATGCACTGAAACAGCCCTCAGAGGCACAGTGGTTTGCAAGTAATTTCCTGCCCTGCCTTTCTTAAATCCCCCATGCTGCCACAGACTGTGATGGATTTGGTGCCTCCCAACACGTCTCCCACAAGAAGGGCAGAGTCCAATTCAAGTAGAAGCGGCCTTTAACTGGCTCTGTTCTGGTTTCCAGTCTCATAGTGCGTGAAGGACTTGTCCAGCCTCAGAAGTACCTTTGCCTGGGACAAAACCAGGGCTGGGGACCTCCAGGCTGCCTCCTGCGTCCCCAGCCTGGGATCAAAAGGGCTTATCCCTGCCTGCAAGTCCTGCCAAGCCTGGAAGCTTCAAGGATAAACCAAGATAGAGATTATTTATTGCCCCAGCTCAGGAGGAAGAGGTTCCCATCTTATCCTCTGCAGCCGCTGAACAAAACTAAGTTTTCCTGATCTGTGTCAGGCAGAGAGGGAACCTTGACTGATGGGATTGGAGTGGCCACAGCCCAGGAATGAGGATGTGGTGCTGGTGCCCCAGAGCAGCAGAGACCATCGGGGCAAGAGGACTTGATTTGGGCAGGGACAGACCCGTGTGGTCACCTTGTTCAGGTGTGCTTCAGTGGCAAAGTCCATCTCCATCCCTGCCTGCTCACTGGGCTCCTCTTTGCACACTTAGGTGTCCATCTCCACCCCTGCAGAGAGGAGAAAGTGCAAATTGTAATTGTCCTGATGTCTCCGGTGAAGGTGATGAAGGTTGAAGACAATACTGGTGAGTGGAACCCTGCTCAGACCGGCTGTTCAGTGTCCCCCATGACTCCCACCAAGGACAGCCAGCTATAAGACAGGCCAGGGGACAACACTGGGCTGCACGGCTCAGGTAAGTCATGTCTGGAGCGATAAATCCACAGGTAGGCTTTAGGGGGTGTGGGCATCGAGGTGGGGCAGTTTGGAGCACCTCTGTGGATCCCCTGGCCCCATAGTTTGCTTGAGGATGACTCACTTAAGTGAGACAGGCAGCTCCCCACGAGAAGGGTGTTGGCTTGGAGACAAGGAAGAGAGCACCGAGAGGTCCTGTTTGCTCAGGGAGGTGCCAAGAAAGTCTGTCAGCCTGCTCCCTGTGGGAACAACTCAAGTCTTTCTCCTTCAGATGGTTCACAGCTCTCCTGCTGGCAGTTGTCCAGTTTGGATCATGCCAAACCAGTCTGATTAAGCCACGGATGTCACCTAAAATTCACGGGCATCCCACCTGGTTCTCACCTGAGTGTGTGGAAGCAAAGCACTGAGTGTGCCGGCACTCACAAGCAAACATCCTTGTTTGAAGCCTTCCTGGTATCACTTCAGTGCCCAAACTGCTTTTCCTCCTGACCCATAGCCTCAAACCAGGCACGAGGAAGCTTGTAGAGTGATTCATCTGGATCAACCCCACCCTGGAGTATTTTTCCCCCCCGTGGAGGGGACAACCTGCTGCTGAATCATCTCCAGAAGGATTGGGCTGCCCACACACCATGGGGACTGTTTTGCTCCAGGCGAAATCATTCTAATAATTATTAGAAATAGTTGTTATTTCTAATAGCTCTAATTTATTCCTGATAAGGAAATTTTCACACACACGCACACACACACACACACCCCTCCTGCTCCATCGCCCAGCAGCCCTGCTACAGAAGGACCCCCTAATCTGGAGGTGGGAGACACAGGCTGAAGGTGGGACACACCTCTGTGTATCCTAACTGGTTGTTCCCCAAAAAAAAGAGAGGAGGAGGGTTAGCCGCAGTTGGCTGCACAGCAAGCTCAGTATCTCTCCTGTGAACAAGGGACTGAATCCAGCGTCTTGGTAAATCCCACCACAGGGGTTCCACAGGGAACTGGGTCTCTCAGCTGTTTCCAGTTGCCCTGATGGGAGTTGTGCTGAGCATCACCTGGTGGCAGAGCGGCCGTGGGAGAGATGGGCTATAAAACCTCCCTGGGCAGTAGTTACTCCTTGTGCTGGACCCTGGTAGGCAGGATGAGGTCTGGAAGCAGCCTCGGGTTGGCTCTCTTGTGCTGGGTTTTTGGGGAGGTGGCTGCTTACAACCCCCTGGGTGTCTTCAGAGGGGAGGCAGAGCTATGGAGGTACAGAGGGGATCCTTCCCTGGGGCAGCCACGGCCCTTCTCGCAGCCCTGGGCATGGGTGGACGTGTCCCAGCTCCAGGCTATGGCCCCACTGCACCCCGTGGCCGTGCAGTGCCAGGAGGCACAGGTGGTGGTCACGGTGCACAGGGACCTTTTCGGCACCGGGCGCCTGGTCAGGGCTGCGGATCTGAGCCTGGGATCAGCCTCCTGCCCGCCCTTGCTCTGGAGCACCCCTGAAACCACTGTGACCTTTGTGGCCGGGCTGCATGAGTGTGGCAGCACCCTCAGGGTAAGTTGTGGGGGGCTGGATCCTTAAGGGGTCGGGGTGTGGGGGCGGCTGCCTCTTGGCTTGCACCCTGGTGCCTTGGGGTGCTGAGACTGAAAGGATCTGTGGTGTGGTTGGGCTCAGGGAAAAGCTCCAAAGTTTTCCTGGAGGCTGAACACCTCAGTCAAGAGGATCAGGAGCTGTGCTGTGTTGTCTGCGCTTCGGTGAGCAGGAAAGAGGCAGAGAATAAGTTTTTTTCTGATAAATTAAATACAGAGATAGCTAAACGCTCCGGCACTGCTCGTGCTGCTGCTGCCACCTCGAGGGCGGAGCGCAGAACACCTGGTGTTGGGAGCCACTGCTCCTTAAGGATACGTCAGGAAGCATCTGAGTGCTGCTTATGGGATGTAGCATGAAGCTACTTCACCAAAACCTTAAATCTGAAGTGGTCTCTCCCCTGGGAGATGCTTGGAGGGGCCATGAAAATGAGCAAGCGCCCCCCCCCCCCCCCGATACTCTATCCAGCAGATGAAGCCACTCTTTGGTATCCTGGGAGTCAGACCTTCCTGTCTGTTGTTCTAGGGCATGGGAACTATAAAATAAAAGTGAGAATCAGCTAGAGCACACCTGCATCCAGCTCTGCTGCTGACCACAGGCTGTTCTGGGACAGGCTGGAGCAGGCTCCCGTCCCAGAGGATTCCTACATCAGGCTGAGTGCCCCTTGCCTGCCTCCAGCAAAAATGCTGCTGGCTGAGGACCAGAAAAAATATATCAGTGCTGAGTCTCTGGTCTCAAATGTGCAGCTCTGTGTGTGTGGTCAAAGGAACAGGGCTCTTAATGACTGGATAATTGCCTTGCCTTTCCCCAGGTGACCCCTGATTCTCTAATCTACACCACAAGCCTAAATTACAGCCCAGTTCCTCCCAGCAATCACGTTGTCATCCGCACCAGCCCTGCCGTGGTTCCCATCGAGTGCCACTACCCCAGGTGAGCCGAGGCAAGTGAGCACCAAACAGTCCCTTCTGCTGCCACAGAGAACTCAGCTGTGGGCATTTCTCCTCCCCAGGAGGGACAACGTGAGCAGCAGTGGTGTCAGGCCCACGTGGGCACCCTTCCGTTACACCCTGTCCTCTGAGGAGAAGCTGCCCTTCTCCCTGCGCCTCATGACCGGTGAGTTTGGGGTGAGGATCTCGTCTGGTGGCCATGATTCCGCTAGATGGTTCAGTTTTGGGCAGCACCCAGGGCCTTGTGCCCACTGGGGTTTTCCTGGTTGGAAGCAGTGAAGCCCAAACCAGCTTCCCATCCAAGAGTGCCTGGTGACCTCTGTCCTTCCAGATGACTGGAGTGCCGAGAGAGCCTCCACTGTATTTCAACTGGGAGAGGTCCTCCACTTCCAAGCTGGTGTTAATGCAGAGAACCACGTGCCTCTGAGGCTCTTTGTGGACAGCTGTGTGGCCACCCCGACCCTGGACAGGACCTCTTCTCCCCAGTACGCCTTCATTGAATTCAGTGGGTAAGAGCTGGCTGTGCCCTTGCTCAAGAAGGACCTTTCTGCAGGTTTATGGAGATGATATCTGACAGTGGGACCCTGCTGGGCCCTGTGTTTGTGTCCAGGTGCCTGGTGGATGGGCAGCTGGATGATGCCACCTCAACTTTTATAACCCCGAGACCCAGGCAAGATGTGCTTCAGTTTGCAGTAGATGCATTCAAGTTTGCAGGAGACTCCAGCAATCTGGTAAATCATTCTTAAAGCAATTAACTCCCTTTTCTGGGTGAGAGCCTTGCTCCATTAGGAAATTTAAAGTGGTTTTTGTCTAGAATTACATTCCCAAGGTAACTGCCTCATAGCAACACATGAATGAGGTCATCCTGTACCACTGCTGCTGCATCATGGCCCTCTGAGGCAAGGATCAGTTCTGATACTGGTCAAGACAAGCCCTGCTGGTGGGCTTTGTTAGCTGAAATCCTAAGTGGCTTGAAGGAATGGAAGGGGGTTGAGCTGCCCCGGGGAGTTGGTGGTCCTAGTGCTGGAGACCAAAATCTTGGTGTGTGGGAAAGAGATGAAGACACCTGATGGCCAAACCCCTCTGCTCTGCCTGCCCTGCCCAGATCTATGTCACC